TTTTTTTTTTTTTTTTTTTTTTTTTTTAATGGTTTTTGGAACTCCAATGGGTGATGAAAAGGATTCTTGGAAAGTGAAAACCTTGGATGAAATCCTTCAGGAAAAGAAACGAAGGAAGGAGCAAGAGGAGAAAGCAGAGATAAAGCGCATGAAAAACGTGAGTGTCCGACTGGGACGGCGCTGCTCAGTGCTGCCGTGCCTGAACGAGCGTGGTTTGGTTTACCTGCCCTTTGTGTGTTCCTGTCCCAGTCGGATGATAGGGATTCAAAGCGGGATTCTCTTGAAGAGGGGGAGCTGAGAGATCACCGCATGGAGATCACGATCCGCAATTCACCATACCGCAGGGAGGACTCCATGGAGGACAGGTACTGCCTGCAGTGCGATGCTCCCTGAGTGCACCTGGGGGTTAAAAACCCTGAGCTGAGTGCTCTGAAGCACTGCAGGGGAAAGCAGAACTTTCTGAGGTGTTTGAGGTTCCCTCCTGGCTGTGCCGAGTGCCAGGAGGCTCTTGGTTCAGGCATAACAGTGCATTCTGAGCCCATTTTGGCCACTGCACAGTAACATGATGTTTTGGTTAAGGTACTGGTTTAGCACTCGACTCGGTGATGTTTGTAGTGTAGCCTTAATGCTTTAGTTCAGGGGTATTGTGGAAAACAGGAAAATGAGTGTTGGGTTTGGTTTTTTTTTCAAAAGGGATAAAAGAGAAAGTAGTGTTCAGTCTGTTAAATCATAGAATCACAAGGTTGGAAGCAACCTGTAAGATCGTCTAGTGCAAAACCATCCTCCCATCAGCACAGCTACCACAAGCACTAAACCACATCTTGCAGCTCCTCATCCAGGCTCCTCTTGAACACTGCCAGGGACGGTGACTCCTCCACCTCCCTGTGCAGCCATTCCAGCGCCTGACCACTCAGAGAGAAAGCATTCTTCCTTATGTCTAATCTAAACCTCCTCTAGTTCAACTTACGGCCGTTTCCTCGGGTCCTGTTTGTTGCCTGGGAGAAGAGGCCGGTGCATTGAACCTCCCTGAGCTTATCAGTTTGTGTCTTTATTGTAGAGGAGAAGAAGATGATTCCTTGGCTATAAAACCACCACAGCAAATGTCACGGAAAGAAAAAACCCACCATAGAAAAGATGAGAAGAGGAAAGAGAAACGGAGACACCGCAGTCATTCAGCAGAAGGTGGTGTTACACCTTGTTCACACTTCTGGTAGCTTCTCAAGGTTGCACTGAATGGGCACTGTATAGAGGAAATAAGAATTGCAGACCAGAGAAAACCTGTCAGATGGATATGATAAAATAAGTGAAATTTGCTTTCTTTTTTTTTCCTCTTTAATTGTGTCCAGTGCCCCTTTAAGAGCGATAGATGCACGTCTGTGCTTGAGAGGACGGCAGCCACTCTGGGACAGGGACACAGAGTTTGCTTTTACTCTTGCAACTCTGTGATGCTTCACTGCAGCCTCACAGAGTCAGGGAGATGAGCTGTGGTATTTGTAGCTGAACGGAAAAGAACAAATACCATTTCCATGTAACTAAGAGAGCACAAAGTTTAGAAACATCCGCTTTGTCTTCCTGTTACTTGCAATCTTATTTCTGATTTAACACAAGTGTTTGAGCTCTTACAATTGCTTATTTAATGCCCTTTCAGATCAGGATGTTTCCATCAAGGAAAGAACAGAGAGCATAGGAATATGCTGTCATAGGTGTTGTCCTTTCTACTTATTTGAAAATAGGAGTGCAAAATATTTTGAATGGTAACTCTGCAGAATTCATTTTTGCCTGTTCAGGGAAACATGCCAGAGTGAAGGAGAAAGAACGGGAGCACGAGCGTAGGAAGAGGCATAGAGAAGAGCAGGATAAGGCCCGACGAGAGTGGGAAAGGCAGAAGCGGAGAGAAATGGCGAGGGAGCATTCCAGGAGGGAGAGGTACATCGTTCTCTGCAACGAAATTGAATTGCCCTGTACTCGGCTACAGAAAAACAGTTCTCTTCTACTTTGTAAGTTAAGTTTGTACTGAACTGCAGCTTAACAAAAAATAACCAATTATTTTCTAGAGATCGCCTGGAGCAACTTGAGAGAGAACGAGAGAGAAAAATCAGAGAGCAGCAGAAAGAACAAAGGGAGCAAAAAGAGCGTGAAAGGAGAGCTGAAGAAAGGCGTAAGGAGCGGGAAGCCAGAAGAGAAGGTGATTATTGGTGTCTAAAAGATGTTTGGATTTGCCATCTGCTGCGGTGGTGGAATTGGGGGTAGAGAAAGCTTTCACTTAGGTCAGTGCCAGAACTTATAAAAATAATAAAATCTGGTGGGATGTCTATCTGGGAAAGAAATCTTTGAAGTTCTACACAGGGAAATAAAACAACATCGGATGCCGGGAGTGTGCTGGCTTTTGGGCTGGTCGGTAAGTCTTTGTTTGCCTGGCTTCCTTCAGAAACAAGATCTGTGTCGTCGCTGTAGTCCTTGTGTGTGTATGTGTGTCATGAATGCAGTTGCACTCCTTGGCTGAGTCTGAGCCAGTCTGGTAGAGACTGAAGTCTCAACATAAGCGTAGTAAAGTTCTGGGAAATAAGTGGCATGGGGATGGGGATAGATGGTGTGAGTCCTCCAGCTGTGGATAAGGCCGATCTCTTGCCATCTGGGTTCAGATCATTGTTGTTTAAAGGACTTCTGTTTGTCCTGGCTGTCAGAGGTAAAAATCAGACCCAGCATCTGTGCTCAATTACAAAGATTGCTCGAGGGTAGCAGAAGTCATTGTACTTGTTGCTGTTCTTTCTAGTTCTAGTTATGCTGAACTGCTCCTTTTTGTGCTTGATATTTACACTGGTTTTGGTCTCAATTAATCTAGCCTTCTGTTTTAGCTCTTTATTGCTCTGAATGTTCTGTCAGCTTCTTCTAACCCTTAGCTGTTTTTACTTCTTTGTGCATCTCCCTGGTTTGTCCACTTCTCTCTTGCCTTAACACTGTAGGTTTGGGTTGTGTGCTGTGTGTAGCACAGGGGGCATCTTGCATCTGCTTGTTAAGTATGGCAGCACCTTCCTGCCATACTGTTTGGTCCAAACCCACATAGCATTGCTATGAGGGAAATCACAGTCCTTTGCTCTCCTAGACGCAGTTAGGTTCTGCTTTCGCCCCTCCCCATTACCATTTGTTCTGTAAGGAAAAAGGAAAAAATATGCAGAGCAGGTGGTTGTGGTAGACTGAAGTATTCTAATTAGGGCAGGGACATTTAACGATTTTTGTTTTGGTTTTGTTTTCACTAGTTTCTGCACACCATAGAACAGTGAGGGAAGAATATGGAGACAAAGTGAAAATGAGACCCTGGAGTCGCAGCCCATTACGACAGCAGAGAGACAAGCCTGAGCAAGCAGATAGCAGGAAACCAGGTAGCATTTGCCACCTCAGTGTCTTTGCCTGGGGGCTAGCAGCTGTTCTGGGGTAGAGTTTAATTTTTAGTATTAAACATTTACATCCCTGGAACCATACGGAAAGTGTTGTCCGCTTCAGCTGTGGTGGCATAATTCTGGAATTGTTGAGAAGGGTGGCACATGCACTGTTACTAAAGCAATTGCTGGTTTTATTCCTTTGCAGATTGAAAAGGGATTGTTTGTACTAACTCCAGTTGGATTTGTTCTTAGGAAATAAGTTACCTTAAGGGCCACCTTACAGGGAACTATCTAGTTTAAGTGTCACTAATTGCTGTACTGTAGAAGAAGAGCAGTGCTTAAGGCAGTGTTCCAATTAGTGAGTTTTGTTTTCTAAGGTAGAAAATGGTCCTTTCTGTACAGAGAAGGTCCCTACTGTGGTGGAGAGCCTGCACAATTGGCATAAAAATGTCATTGGTTAAAGAAGAAAAGCTCTGTGTCTGCTTTGTTAAAGCGTGTAGCTGTGAAAATTGTTGTAATGCACAGTGCAATCAGCTGAGATTCCAGGCAGAGGCAGGCAGTGATCCTTTGGCCTTATGGTCTGATCAATCCACATTTATTTGCACATGCTGTTTCACAATGATGGACTGCAGTAGAAACACTGATTGCAAGCGCTGTGTGAGTGTACATTAGTGGGACTCTGTGTTGTGGTCATGTTTGTTATCATGTTACACTTGTCTTTTTTAATACATTTCTTGCAGAGAGGTGTGGGCACATGTCATGTTTTAAATTAAAAAGCCAGCATTGCACATGTTTGGCTGTTGATCTGGTACCACTGCAGTTCAGGGAAACTGTTTGGCTTTTGAGCACACTGTGAAATGTTATGGTTGCTATATATATGTATATGAACATTCAGCACCTATTTAATAGCTAGAGAATGTAGATATCTGGGCATTCAGGCTTAAAAATAAAAATGAAATTCAGTTGGCACCTTGGTTTTGATTCTTATGGTCTCAACAGTGAAAGAAGAAAAACCAGAGGAAAGAGACCCTCTTTCAGACTTGCAAGACATCAGTGACAGTGAGAGAAAAACAAGCTCAGCTGAGTCTTCATCAGGTAATTCAATGCATTTAACAGATTGTACAGATGTCTGTTGAGGAAACACTGTTATTAGATAGCAGATGTCATTGATCTCGTTCCATGTGTTTCTGTTCCTCAGCGGAGTCTGGGTCAGGCTCAGAAGAAGAGGAAGAAGAGTCGAGCAGTGAAGGATCTGAGGAAGAGGGAGAAGAAGAGGAGGAGGAAGAGGAGGAGACAGGGAGCAATTCTGAGGAGGTGTCAGAGCAGTCAGCAGGTGAGTAACAGAACACAGGTCCCAGCGTGGGCCGGTGGGGTCTTCTGGCTTTACTTTATTTCTCATTTTGTGTTGTTTTATTTGAATGTTTTCCTTTTCTCCTAGTCTAGGATAGGCTGAGACCTCACAGGTCAAGATAACTATAAAGAAAAAAACAAGTACAAGTCATATTCTATCCTTTTATATAGAGGTAATACCAATTATTTGTCTAAGACGCCGGATTAGAAAACTGAAAGCCGTGTTTGTCTTCATAAGTAGTGTAACACTAACAGTTTAAATATTCCTGTGTTGCACAGTAACAAGTACTCTGTAGAGAGCACTCTGCGTGGGGGTGGTGAAATACAAATATCTCTGCTATTTTGAATAGTTTCAGTTGCAAATACCAGATTTTTTTTATCACGCTTGTTACAAATATTTGAACAAATCATACTTCTAAAAAAGAGTTAGTTAAAAATTCTCAGAGCCATTCTTACAATTATTTAGTAAAGGAAAAGTCACAACAGGCTGCTCTGGCTGGGTGTATTTCTTTAAAATGAAGCAGAATGACCAAGCACAAAACATTCAGTGGTCTCCCAATTGGTGCTGTTGAGTTTGAAGAAGCTTTTGTTTTCCAAACGAAACAGCAGATGTGATGTCACTGAACTGGACAGTGGTGCAGAAGGCATGATGAATGAGGAAAGTGGATAGTGGTCTGCATTGCAAGGAAGGGTTGAGTTGATTCAGCTGAACTTGATTCTGTCTTGCAGAAGAGGTGAGCGAAGAAGAAATGAGTGAAGAGGAAGAACGAGAGAATGGAAACCACATCCCAGTTGGTACAATGCAAATACTGAATATATCAATTGACTCTGTTTTTCAGTCAGATCTAGTTCTGAAAGTATTTTAAATCTGTTTAAAATCGATTTGTTGGTGCAGTTTTGCCATGGTTGTGAGGCACCGTGCATTTCACAGCTTAGAGCTGTTATGTCAGAATCAGAACTCTGTTCCAGGGTCTGTATGTAGAAATAAGATCCCAGTCTAATGAGACTTACTAGGTCCCTTCTTTTTTTATTCTCTTAGTGTGAAGACTTATTTTTCTGACATGCTGTGTTCATCTGAAAATTGTGTGTGCCTGACATTAACCAGGGGTTTTCATCTCCACCAAGAGGAGAAATCAGGCTTTTCATTGGTCTTCAAGTTGCACATCTTCTATCTCATAGCGATGTTTTTCACTTCCCTATTTGTCCAGTGCTGAACTTAACTCTGTTCCAAAGGACTCCCTCTTTCCATGTCTGATTCTGACTTTTAAAGTTACAGAGTCGAGGTTTGATCGCGACTCAGCAGGCAGTGAGGTTGAGGAAGAGGAGGTGGGGGAGGGCAGCCCTCAGTCCAACGCCATGACGGAAGGAGACTATGTTCCTGACTCACCTGCTTCTTCCCCTATTGAACTGAAACAGGAGCTTCCTAAATATCTTCCTGCCCTTCAGGTAGGGGATCACTTGAAGGATGCTTGGAAGTGTTCCCTGCAAATGGGTTTCATTAAAATGGGAAACGTTTGCAGTAGCATTTATGCGTCAGTTGATGGGCTGAATGTGTCTTGTTGACTCATTATTGCTCACATTTGTGTGTGAAATATGTACTTCTCTTGGTTAGTTGTAACTAAACCTGTGAAGTAGGTTTTTCTTAAGTCTTGTTAAACAAATGATTGCAGTGCTCCTGCAGACATTGAGGAGTGAATGTTCTCACTGTTTTCTCAGGGGTGTCGCAGTGTGGAGGAGTTTCAGTGTTTGAACAGGATTGAAGAGGGAACATACGGCGTGGTGTACAGAGCAAAAGACAAAAAGACTGGTTCGTATTATCTGCATGGCATTAAATAAGTATTATGTCCTAAATGGCATCTAGTGTGAGAAACGTCTCGCTGAGGATCTGTGTTACTGTGACAGCTATTGTTGCTCATGGGGATTGGTTGGATTTTGGAAGCTGTGATTTGGAAAACTTACCTTATTTGCATGTTCTGGAAACGGCAGAATCAGCCTTCTGCAGTACTGCCCTAATTATTTTGCTGTGTGGAAGCAGTGATGTTCAGGTGGTGTGCATGCATGTGGCATCTGGTGTGTTGTGCACTTCTGCAGACTATTCTGTTGCTTTACAAATTCCAACAAACGTCTTAGTAACTTCACAGGAAATGCAGAAGGAGGTCTGGGGTAGAGTGAGAAGTACAGATTGGGGTTCTCGTCACACAGGTTGCATTTTAAGCACAAAACTGATGTCCGTTCTGTATCAGCCTTCTGCCTTAACAAAGGGGAAAGCTGAAATAATTTTTCTTCTAGCCAGTTTCTGCTTTTGTCATGTGTATAGGTTCAGATCTGCAGTTGTATGCAAATTGTGGTTCTGCATCTCACATTAATGGACAGAATCTCTAAAATGCTTTGTTCCTTTTCAGGAATAATGTCTGCTTTTTAATAGGATATGGATTTTGACAGAAGCGTTTTGCTCGCAGCTGTTTGAGTTCAGAATTAATTTCTGTATTGGTCATGACACTGTAGAACTGCTTAACTTGATTTCAGTTGCTGGTCCATTAGGCAATTATTTCTGGTTTGTGCTTTGCTGCAGCTAACGTGGATTGGTCGGTTGGTTTGAAGTGTGTGCCACTAGGTGCCCCTCTAAGCATGGCCACTGGTGAGAGAATTCATAGAAGCAGTGTTTGTGTGCCATGAGGGCATGCAGCACTACATTGCTGTGGAAGAAATGTCATATACACAAGTGGATTCATATTTTTATCTGGGCTGTAATGATACGTGTCTTGTGGAAGTGACTGCATTTCCTAGGAGTGCAGGAGCCAACAGCGGGTCTCTCGTTGTCCATGCTCAAGTGGAAGAAATACTTGGTTGGATGCTGTAGCAGAAATGGTGACAGTAATGCAGCTTTCCTGGTCCCTTGGAAAAAAATAATGTGAGATACAGTCTGTTCCTTTGGCTGTGACCTCAGTTTCCCCCCCAGTGTTGCCATCACTGGCGATATGTTACAGTCCAGCAGGCTGGTCGCTGCGACAGGGAGTGAAGGCACAGTAAATTAAATATCTGCAATTTTAAATAGAGGTGGCAGATGGTGAGGAGAGCCTGTGACAAGAACTGTGTTCCAGAGCAGGCTTGGACAGTAACAGTGGTTATTCTCAGGTCCAGCTGACAAGCTGTGATGTTGGCAGTGGGGTTAAATTCTGGTTCTCTCTGTTTCTGTTTGTTTTAGAATTACGTGACCTTTTGATCTCCTCTGGGGTGGTTTTTCTGACATCACTCACTTACTGGATAACTGCCATCAGCTCCTTTTTCTCTTCTGCATCTTCCTTGAGGCCCGCCCTGAGGCTGATATGGCCATTACAGTAACATGCAGAAGCAGATGCATTGAAATAACTGGCTTGGGTAATGCTTTGAGTAGCACTTGGGGTTTCAGTTGGGTCTTTAAGGAAAGGTGTGTGTGAGACATTTCCATCCCATCTCCCAAACTCAGGGGAGGAAATCAGTGTCGAATAAGCTTTATTTGTAATGTCTTTCCAGGTGAGTTATGTTAGGATACACTAAATCCCCTGATGCAGGTTTTGAATTGTTACTGTGGGTTTTCTTATCTTTCCTTAAACTTGGCAATATTTCTTTGGTCTGCTTTGGTTTTCACTCTGTTAATGCAGACTGATTCTGCTGATGTCTCAAGTAATGGTTTTCATTCAGATATATCAAAATAGTAGGAGTACACTGGGACACCTCTTGGCATGTATTTTATTAGCTGTGTGATGGGCTAAAAATTCTCTTTTCCTTGCAGATGAAATCGTGGCTCTGAAGCGACTGAAGATGGAGAAGGAAAAGGAAGGCTTCCCCATTACTTCTCTCAGAGAAATAAATACTATTCTGAAAGCACAGCACCTAAATATCGTCACTGTCAGAGTAAGACCAGCAACCTTCCATTTCCAAAGATTTTTGTTCCTGAAATGTTGCCTCTTGGCTTTTAAAATGCCTTGTATAAACATCAGCATTCCTAGCAGAGCTTGTTAATATACCACCCATAAAATAAATAGGCGGTGTTTGTCTCTACTTTAAAAATTGGATGTTTTGCAAAAATAAGCTGTGTTTTGATCACTTGTTTTTGTGTTTTAGGAAATCGTTGTAGGTAGTAATATGGATAAAATCTATATTGTTATGAACTACGTAGAACATGATCTCAAGAGTCTGATGGAAACAATGAAGCAACCATTTCTACCAGGTACTGTTTGCCACAGTCTCCCCTACTTGTCTGAAATGGAAAACTGACCTAGAAAGACCCCATTCCCTTTGGGCTGCACTGACATCAGTGGACTGGCTTGTATGATGACGTGCATTGCCTTGGAATGTCCTCTGAGTGTTCTTTGGAAGGGAGACTACTGCTTTCTCACTGTCCAATTTGATTCTACTGATAGAGGTTAAGAGAGGAAGGTCAGCTGGCAGTGCTGGTAGGTACAGTGATGATAGGCTGATGAATCCAGCTGGCATGCTCAGGGTGAGACTGAGGTTCAGAGGTGAAATGGAGAGGGGAGTTTTCCCTGTGAACACTGCATTTTATTTTTGGCCAGTTCCTATGTTGAGAAGCATTAATTTCTGAGCGTTATTTGGGTGCATTCTAGCTATCCAGATTCATTTTACTATGCTGGCAGCTCTTTGGATCTGTTTTTGTTCTGTGACACATTTTTACACCATACTCCTTAGTGTGTTTTTAACTTGACATCTCATTCTTTCCCCCCCAGTTCCGTCCTTGTTCTCTAATTAGAAATAACAACAGCTGAAGGCAGATTTCTTACTTTAAATGTATTTGGCTTTTTTTTTAATCACTTCAGGTGAAGTGAAAACCTTGATGATCCAGTTACTACGAGGAGTCAAGCATCTTCATGACAACTGGATTCTTCACCGGGACTTGAAAACTTCCAACCTGCTGCTCAGTCATTCAGGAATTTTGAAAGTAAGAACTATGTGACACACAGCACGCTTATGAGAAATTTAGTATTGCAGAGTTACACTGCATGACAGTGATGTTAAGAGCTGGGCAGAATGTTCTGCATTAATCTTGAAGTGTATGAAGTTCCTCAAACATACAGTCATAAGACAGTGAACGTTGTAATAGATGGAGACTGCCTTGCCACAGCTCTTGAGATTTATACTAGAATGTGACTAATAAGCATGGTATGTGAGTGCTGAATTCCTTATGGCACAATTGGAAGGCAGAACGGTGTTCTCTTCCTACTGATGCATGACAGTGCCATTAACCTTGTCTGTATCAAAGTCCGTGTGGCTGTTTTTTGAATGCCAGCAGTAGCCAGAATGGCCAGCATGTACTGGTGCTGTCCATAGGTATGCTCAATGCTGATAACATTACTGATAACTGATTTTCATCCAGGTTGGAGATTTTGGATTGGCCCGAGAATATGGATCTCCTCTGAAGCCTTACACACCAGTGGTGGTGACACTTTGGTACAGGGCTCCGGAGTTGTTGCTTGGAGCCAAGGTATGCCTCTCTATTCTTCTGGGAGCTAAGGGATTGACTTTTCAGACTAACTTCATCCTATAATTCATGAACAATTTATAGAAGTGTGCTTGATTCTTTATGCTGATTTAGCAGTGGAAATTCTGAAACTTCAATTTTAGTTTTCCCAATAACAAATCTAAAAAGGTTTCGTCTTCCTCAGAGGATGGATGGGTGGGTCTAAAATTTCTGACAAAAAGAGCAGAACAGAGGACTGTGAACATTCTGGCAATGTTCCCTTCTGGTTACCTGTTCTGTCACTGAAATCACTGGGCCTCTGGGAGCTCCATTGCCAAGAACCACACAAAAAAAACCCCAAAACATTGCACTATCGCTACAATACCTCATTAAATTATTTCACTGGCTTTATATTCTTTCTTTGCAGGAATATTCAACAGCGATAGACATGTGGTCAGTGGGGTGCATCTTTGGAGAACTCTTAACTCAGAAACCGCTGTTTCCAGGGAAGTCGGAAATTGATCAGATTAACAAAGTTTTTAAGGTAACATTTATGAAACCTTTCCATTCTAACTGGCTGGTTTTAGAGGCAGTTAAATTAGAGCAGTAAGAAAATAGAAATGCTTGTTACTCTTTGATAGAGATTCAACCTTAATAAAAGGCTCACTACTTTGATTTTCTGTTTTACATTATCAATGATAGGCTAAAATAATGTTTTGTATGTTGTCTGTTTTCTCTGGATTTTTATCAATTGCTGTAGCTAAATAATGAATAAGCAGAAGGGCTGCACTCTAGAATGGGTTTTTTAAGGAGACATTTTAATCTATAGGATCTGGGTACTCCAAGTGAAAAAATCTGGCCTGGTTACAATGAGCTGCCAGCTGTAAAGAAGATGACGTTCACAGAATATCCCTACAACAATCTACGCAAGAGATTCGGAGCACTCCTCTCTGATCAGGGCTTTGATCTGATGAACAAGTAAGTGCCAGCTTCTGCAGTCCTTGGGAAATTGTGTTGTTTGTTACACTTGTTGTAAAACATGACTGATTTCTGAAGGTTTTATATCTTTTAGGCTAACGTTTTTCTTCTTTCTGCACGGCCGTCTCTCTTATCTTCCCTCTAATTCATTGTCTGCCTGAATTCTTTTCAGCTTTTTGACGTACTACCCGGCCAGAAGAATTACTGCTGAGGATGGTTTGAAGCACGAGTATTTCCGTGAGACTCCCCTTCCTATTGACCCCTCCATGTTTCCTACATGGCCGGCCAAAAGTGAACAACAAAGGGTGAAACGTGGCACCAGCCCCCGCCCGCCCGAGGGAGGCCTTGGGTACAGTCAGTTGGTGAGCATCACTGACTTCCCCTGTCCTAAAACAAAGCCAAACCTGCTCCTTTTCCAGTGTTTGGAAAAGAATCTGTCACATACAAGGCTGGTGTTCTTTCCTGTGTGGGAATTGGACTGCCAGTTTTGAAGAAAAAGCTGGCCAAAAAACAGCTGCTTAGAAGTAGGACGTGGTACAATCTCAAGAGCCTTAATTATTATCAGCTCTTTATTGACAGTTCCATGTCTCAGCATAGGTGAATTGACACTGCACAGCTATTGTGCCTGCTGCAGTACCAACAGAAAGAGCACGAATAACAGTCTGCACTGAACTCAGCTACAGTGCCACTAAATCAAGTATTTACTTACCATCTCCTACAGCTCCTTCAGCTTTTGTTTTGTTCTTTGTTTCTATCTTTTTTAAATCAGTTTTAGGCATGATTTCTGTGTTGCAGAGGTGATGTGTGCACAGGCACTGACAAATAAACTGTGTATGTTTTCCACAGGGCGACGATGATCTGAAAGACACCGGTTTTCATCTGACCACCACGAATCAAGGAGCATCTGCTGCTGGGCCCGGATTCAGCCTCAAGTTTTAAACTCAGTGAGAAGAGGGGGAAAAAAAGAGAACCGTTCACGTGAGTGGATTTCTGAGTGCCCCAGTTCTGTTCTTCACGTCAGGGAAACTAGATGGTTTTCAGCGGGGTAAAGTCAGATGTCATCCCAGATTCAAAGACTTTTGCTGGGTGTGGAGTTTAACTGCTGCATTCCATTAGAGGACTGGAATTAACAGGAAAAGCCAAGGATCGTTATAAAATTTGACAGAGGAAAACTTGAAGTACAATCCTTGATCCCCTTTTTTTCTTTTTTTTGGTTCTTGTTCTTTTCTCCTTGTAAATTTGTAGAATTAAAATGCATTTTTGATTGTTTAACAGCGTGAAGGATGTCATTTCCTCACATGCAGCAAACGTGGATGTTGGTGGCATTAAGTCTTCTAGAGTGGAAATGTGAGGATTTATTTTTTTTTTTAATTTCTCTTTCCTCCCCCCATCTGTGCTGATGTTGTTGTAGTTGCTGTCAGTCCAGCAAAAGAACTTTCCTTTTTTTTTTAAAGTAAGTTCTTTGTGTCTGAGTGTAGTTGCTTGGTCAAGAAATCATAATGTTTAAGTTGCTTCTCTCCTGTTGTGTACCTTGGAGAAAGCTAAGCTGGGTTGGGCTCAACACCCACTGACATTTTTGAGTGAACTACTGGGTTGATGTGTTGTATAAATGTATTTACAATGGCACTGGAGCAAAAAGTGTACTATATTGTTTTATAATTCAAAAAAAATTAATATTGAAGCTTTATTTTCTAGAGAACCTTCTTTTAAAAATGTCCTTTTTCCACAAAAATAACAACATTTCATTTTACTGGTTGTATATTGCCCTATTCCAGTCTTTCCTCATAAGTGTCTTCTGAGTCTCTGATTTACAATGCTATCATCCTTTTCTGGGAACAGGAAGATTTGGAAAATACTGGGGTGTTCATGCAGTCAGAACTGGGCACCAGTCCCACCAACAGGCGTAGTGATGAGCATCCAGTGCATTGGAAGAGACTTGTTTTGGTGGTGCTGGTTTTGTTTTCATTGAGTGAAGGCCTTGGACCTGCTCTTGGGAGCTACCAGAATTGTACATTTTCAAAGCTGTTTTTTTTGTGTGTGTGTTGATGAAGCACTGTTTTCTCATTAGGCCTGATTGTGGTGCTCTGATGGAGAAACAGTTTTTCTGCTAGTTTACTAACTGTAGCAACGCATGGTTTTAGCAAAGTTTGGGTAGAGGTGAAGAGCAGAAGCTTATTTATTTGTACTGAAGGATGTGAGAAGTGAAAAGTGGACAAAAAAGCTGAAATACTAATGATAGATATTTACTGGAACAGGTGCATCATTGCCCGTTGGAAAGCATTTGTTCCAACCTGGGCTAACAAATCTGGACCTCTGAATCTAATAGGAGTTATTTGTTTTTAATCAAACAACAAGTTAGGCAAAGGCAAGTAAAGTGAAAACATTTCCAGGACTGTTTCACCAGGAACAGAGCTATGGAACTCAATTACTTTGAAATTGTGTCATCTCAAATAACTGATTTCAACCAGGGAAAATCTGCAAAGATTCATCTTTTAAAAAACATGGAGGTTCCAGTGCATAAGAGTGTGGTAATCACAGCCTTGTTGTAGGTTAGGGATTTATTTTGTTGTTGGCTTATTGCAATTTTTATTTTTATAAAATGAAAGTGTATGCCAAGAGAAAGTGAGTTTTGTTGCTTACCTTGAGGGTATCACCATATCTGTCAGGTGTTTTCCATACTAATTTCCAGCAAATGGAAGCTGTCATGCCGTGGTCCTGGGCAGGAGATGGAGAGGTTTTTTTTGGTTGGCTTCTTTACAGAAATTCCTCTTTCTTTTTTTTTTCCTGAGTTCCTTGAAGATGATGTTGGTTTGAAATTGCAGCCAGAACAGATGTGCACAGCAGTGCTGGGCCATGCCATCTGTGTCATGGAACACTGGGTGCAGTGCAGAGCTGTCTCATGGCCTGCTGTCTTAAACTGTGACTTTTTTCCTTGGTTTCTTTTTCCACTGGCCTTGAGGTCAGCTCAGTTTTGGAAGGTGACTTCTTACAGGACATTCGTGGGGCAAAGCAGGTCCTTAGCTGCAACTCCAGCAAGGACAGTGCCTGCCAGAAGCACAGGGCAGGTGGAGGTAAACAGGATTTGGAGAAACAGCACAAAAGTCAGTTATCATAAATGGTATGTGTACAAAACTGTTAAGTTGTGAAATGAAGAACTTTGGATCTGCCCTAGGATTAAGCATCCTTGCAATTGAAGTGCTGACATCCCCTTGTGAGAGCTGTTGAAGGCTGTGCTGATCAGCTCCCTGTTCTTGTTTCGTTTCTCCAAATCCAAAAGACAGAGCTGTTTTAAGATGCTTGGATCCATGTGGTGTTGCACTGCTCTGTTAAATGGAGATGTGCTAAGTTCATGCTAGATATCTGCCAGTAAAATTACTGTTATTGCAATTGTACCAAACTGTTCTTATTAGTTTCTTACTTTTCCCTTGTGCTTTTGCTGTCCTGGTACAGAGCTCTTCCTAGAATGCTGACCTATTCTGCAATACATGAGATGCTTAAGGTAGGAAGAAACGTGTTTGAAGAGTTTAAGACAGCAACTAAAAATGGACGAACCTAAGCAGAGAATGATGTAGGCTGCCTTAATACTGGATAAGGATCTTTCAGGTACCCATTAAATACAATGACTGTCAGGGTTTGTAACTGCACATCTGAATTGCCAACTGATAGATGTTTGAGTGCACTGGGCTTCGCCCAGGAAAAAAATGCTGCTTCTCTTCTGGATGTGGCGCATCCACCTCACCTGTTAATGACTGGGTGTGATGATGGAAATGATCTTACCTCTGTTGAAGGGGTCAAGAAGCTTATTGATCAGACACCAAAAGGATGAGTTATGAGGAGCTGCAGATGGAAGTAGATGGTATGCTGGGCTAAGATTACACAGACAATAAATACACACCACAGGAAAGTAGTTGGGGGGTGGAAGGGAGATATTCTGTGCATAGCTGAACTGAGTATGTCAAAGTGTGAAATGGAGTAATTTGGCTTTGTTGTGACCCTAGATTTTCCTTCTGCCCACTAGAAGGAAAAGTAATTCTTTTTTTAACGTTCTTATAGACCTACATGTCGTGATATAAAAAAGATAAAAAACCACTTACAGCGCATTTACTGGTCATTCTCTTTCCACAATACCTCTGATTCCATTGCAACATAGCTGAGCCATCAGTCTGTTCATCCATGTGTTTGCTGAAGGGTTATGTTCTCGTTTTTCAGCAGTCCACTGATCCAGGTTAACTGCAAAATCTTACACTTGATTTTTTTTTAATTTCTTTTTTAATTCTCTGTACAACACATGCTTGATGAATTCTTTACCTTTAAAACTAATTTGGAAGAGTTGTTTTATCCAGTAACAAAGTCCCAGAGTCTCTCTTGCTCGAGGTACTGAAGCAGCTGATTTAGGAGTTCATTTGCACTACTGGCGTTTAAATACAAAATGCTTAAGCCAGATTGTGAATCTGAAATAGAGAAGTTCTCATGCCAGAGCTCTTGTTAATGTCTCAGTCTGATCCTCCAGGAATAAGTGGTCAAGATTCTTTCTTTTTTCTTTACTATACAAGTGTAAGTTCCTTCATTAATTGCATTTGCAATGATGCTCATGTGATCCTCATTTAAGGATAAGTAACCTGGATATGAGTATTCCAGAAGCTCCTTATCTTTATACCAGCTGTCATAAGAAAAATAATAGAAATTAAACTATAAAATATTCAGTACATGCAGCATGTGCATTGTCCTTCTCTTTGCTGTTAAGCTGTGCTTGAGGCAGGCACTGCAGCACGGATGGACTTGCACAGTAAGATTTAACCTCATTGTCATTGATTTCACCTGGATGGTGGCAGTAATAACATGGTGTCCTATCCTGAATCTTACTGAAAACAAGTAAGAATTTGGTTCCTGAGTCTAAACTAACCCCTGGACTTGGACATATTTCTCTCAAGTTTAAATGCATCTAGAAGTAACGTGCTCATAACTTTATCCATTCAATTCATGGTTAATTCTTAGTAAAGACAGTAGGTTTTTTTCAGAATACAGCCCAGGGACTTTGACAGAGGTAAGAATTATCCTTATGCTATATATGTGTATTGGATTTTATCTTTCTTCTGCTGAGCTTACATCTGATAGATCTGCTTCTGAAATAAATGCTTCACAGTGTTATAAACAGTATTTGCACATTCCCTTCCCACAGTTAGTCTGCCACCCCTCCTTCTACTCAAGAGTGCCAAATCAAAGACAGCCACATGTTCCAAAAGCTGAACTGCACTCTCATGTACTTTGTTTTGCCATACTTCCTTATTCTTTCTCCTTGGGGGTATTTATGCTGCAGAGTATTCTGAAAGACTGGAATAAATGACAGAGCACTTACTAAACTTTGCCTTTTTTATGGATGATCTTCTGTCCACAGCGGAAGGTGACATTCCTGCCTTCAGAAACAGTCTTGGTTTTTGTCCTTGGAGGTGGCAGAGTAGGAGGAACTGTTGGAAATGGGAATTCTGTCCACCAGAAAAAGAAAGTGCAATAGTTAACATATCTCATTATCAAGCTTGAGTCATCCCAAAACACTTCCACAGAATTATGTTATAATCTAAGTAATCTTAAGGTTATTTGTTAAAAAATGACTCTAATTGAACAGCTCTGGGATGCACATTTAACACTGTTCTATTTGCATATAAACACACTTCACGTGCATGGAGGAACAGTTCAGTTTATGAACATTCTCCTGCAATAACTGTACATGTAGCTGCAAATTTTTGTAAAAATACCTCTGTTCTGGAGAGGGAAGTACTAGTTACATGGTGCATCAGGACAGCAGGCATTTATCTGAAGCTTAATTCCACAGCTGCAGTAATCTGAGGTGATAATGCATCAGTCCCTTACCTGAATGCATAAAACTGAGGCTAGGTAAGGTGTTTAACATACTGTATCCCTCCTTTTCTTGGAGCAGCTCGAGTCCAGCTGTGCCTGAGATTTCATTTGGCTAGTTCTTGTCCCATCACTGCATCAGGTACTGCACTGCCAGGCCTTTGATTTGGCTGAGATGTACAGGAGGATATCTGTGCTACACTTCTCCTTAGAACTGGGTGCAGCCAGTCACTTGCAGCCTCTGGCCTCTAGTGTAGAGTTAAGATCCTGCCTATCCCTGCAGCAAAGGCTGCTTAGCTTTACCTCCTCCCTCCTGCAAGACCCACCAACATCCCAGAAGAAAAGTTGGGTACCGTAGCAGAAGTCACAGGTGAACGGACAGTGCTTTTTCATCAGCTTCTCACGTTTCTCACAGAAACCTTTCCGGGCCCACAGGGGGCACATAAACAGTCTGTCCTTGCATCCTGAAACAGAAGGAGACAATCCTCTGAGAAACAAACTGACATTTCACCCAGTTGAGATTGTTCAACATAAACGGTAGTGCGAAGACAAGAAGGAACCTAGGACTGGAAGTATAATAGGATGCCATTACTAGAAGAACAGGGAGCTACATACTGTGCTACTTCCATGCAGGAGCACCTTTATATCCTGCATAGAAAGGAATAAGATTCCTCCTGAGTGTGGCTCACTGGCATCAAGCTCTCATCTCAGCAAATGCTGAGTACCTAACAAAGAGCTCCGTGGGATTTGACTGGCACTTCAGGCAAATGTTCCTTATCAAGAGGAGCCCAGAGCACAGCCCTCATTTCCTTACCGTAAAGTCTGTGAATTCCCCAGACTTCATCTTGAGAGATGGTCTTTTTCCCAGTCAAAGTAGCATTGATGTGCATGAGAGCATTTGGGTTTTGGGAGTGCATGAGTCCTAAGGCATGCCCTATTTCGTGAGCTGCTACGTGCACCAGATCTGTAAGCCAAACACCTGGAAGAAAAATGGAAAAAAGCTAACTGCAGTGAAGTACGTTTGCTAATCCCAGTGTAAAGCCAGAAGAAGAATTTTAGCACTTGGAAGGTGTGGTCTTATCAAAGGTTGCCAGTTTTAACTTCCCTGTAGCTATTTGGGTGTAAACGGTCAAGAAATTATTTATCCGTGCTTCTAATTCCAAACAGCAGCTCTTGCCAGACTCAGAAGACTGCTCCAAAAGACCAGTGATTGAAATATGGAGCAATATGCCCACTCTGGGCAGCTTGCTGCTGCTTTGTTCCCACAGCCCTGAGCTGGGACTGGAAACGACAGGGAGTGAGATTGCTAGAATGCTCCAGTCTGAAAAAGCCTCTGATTGACTTTTGCTTACAGGGTTGAACTGACGTTTGTCAGCAGCGCCCTGAAGCCTGCTTCCAGCAGAGCTGGGTTTTAACTGAAGGATGACTCACAAGAGGAGCTGTTACTGACACCTACCCTGATACCTTGCACAACTCTAGGCCATAGGAATACTGCGCAATGCCTGTGTTAAATCCAACTGCGTATGGGAAGAAAGCATCTGAAGGGGGTGGCTTGCATACATGCTTAATTTATCAGTACATTAAATAGGAATCCTTGGTGGATTTTTTTTGGCTCTTGCAGACTCCTGCTGAACCTCACTGACGTGACTTGGAAGAACAGTACTTCCGTTCTACTTCGTTTCCAAATTTCTTTAAGCCAATAGCTGAGCTAGTTCAGCTTTGGGAAGAGAAGCAGTCATTATTAACAAGCATTAATAGTCAGCCTTACATTCACCTGCCTTTTGAAGGCAGAAGTGCTATTGCTGCTTTACAGAGGTGGCTGAACTGTATGCAAATCAACTGCATAACTATTTCCATGTAAATGAATGGAGTTACGCTGCCATGAAGAAAGAATCTGTGGTAGAACTGGCACGTGGGACTAAGATGTAAATGCTGCTGGCGTTATTATTGTTCCCTCTGAGACATGTCTTACCTTTCTTCCAGCTGAACCGAGTATTTCCTAATATCCAGTACTCATGGTCATCAAAGTGGATTTCCCCATTGGGTGGGAAGAAGGCATGGGCAAGTTCCCCTGTTGTTCCATCAAAGCAGTGGTGAATGAGAGACTCCAGACAGTCTGTGTGATTGATGGAGTAGAAGCCTGCAAAAAGAGAAGCAGATTTAGTCTATCTAGCAGGACAGACATCTGTAAACTTGTGGTTTACTAACACATCTCTTGCTGTATCCCAAATGTTTTCCAAGTTACACACACAACAGGAAAAATCAGTGCAAAGCAATTGTATGGAACAAGGGTTGTGATGCAAACTGGAGCCAACTCTGCAAAGACCTCAGATTTGGAGCTGTCTTCAATGCACACAAACTAATCTACTTTGCAGAAAGGAACGCTGAGCACTTCTTGCAACATCACAAGGAAACTTTGGGGTGTTTTTGGAGTGAAGTTGGACCCTGAGATGATAACCTCAGAGCATAATCATCGGACAGTGAGATGATAACCCCAGAATGCAATCAATTTTAAACACAAATAAACGGAGAGCAACAGAATTGCAGCTGCTTGCTGTCCTTCTGCTAGCATCACAACAGCTTCACACTGCGGCCACTGGAATGGGGCCACCTGGAGCTCACAAGTGGCCGCAGGAGAAGCCCCTGACGGCACATCATGTGCTTGAAAGCAGCAGACTGAAGAGCAAATTGCGAAACAATGGAAAATCTGCTCGTTATTTCAATATTGTGGCCATCTGCACAAGAAATAATTATTGCACATAGGCCATAAATCCCAGGAAGAATTTACATCTGGGTTTGAGACGGAGCAGATAAGACCTCAGCACTAACATATTTCTAGGCTTGAGAAAGTCAGGAGGTAACTACTGTACATTCATGGGGGAGGGCAAAAGGAAGAGGAGGAGAAAAGGCAGTGCTTGAGCCACCCAGCAGAAGGGAGCCAGCTAGCACACACAGCAGTCCTGCAGTGCAGCAGGCTGTGCAGCCTCACCTATTTTCAGATCACTGGGTACGTGGCGTGGCACTTCTCTGAAGCTGAATGGTGAAACTTCACTCCACATTCGGAACGCAGCTGCCAGTCCCCTGCGTGTGTCCCTGGCATTTATGAGGTTTCTTGGGAAGGACAGGATTCTGTAATAACACACAATAACATCAGGGAAATGCTGTCCCTGCCCCAACATCATTTGATGCTCTCTAGGCTTTATTAGACTATCACCTGCTGTAAAATGGTTTTAGGAGCTACCCAGTCACTGACAAAAGGATTGGCAGTATCATGATTGATATCCATGCCCTCAACAAAACAAAAAAAAGTCAATGCAAGTCCATACTTGTAGGTCAGGTTGAAGTGGTCCCATTTCAAGTGTCCAGGTGTGATCGTGTATCGCTTTCTCCGTGCTGGAGGCCGAGGTGGAAAGGCTGGGCTGTGCAAAGCAGAGGCACTCACTTCACGGAGGCCAGGTGATGTGGTATCTTCCTTAAAAGAAAAAGAAGAGGTTGAAAACGGTGGGGGAGACTGCAGGACTGAAGAATGTAGCAGTCAAACCAACCAATATGGGGCATTTGGGGGCAGGACAACCAGTCCTCCCTCAGAGACGTCCAGGACAGAAGACTTCGCAAAGCATGCCTGCTCTGAGTGTGCTGAACAAAATCAAGACGGAGCAAAAGCAGGGCAGTACTGTGAGCAGCTCCTGGGGCATTGCTGAGTGCTGGATCAGCGATCAGCCTGTGGGTTCCCTGGAGCTGTTGCATAACTCCAGCATGGGGCACTGCTGCCACTCCTCTCCTCCTGGAGCGCAGCGCAGGCAGAGCAGAAATGAGAGCTCGGCAGCTTCTGGCCACAGCGAGAGCTGCAGCTCTTCCTGAAAAGCTCTCATTTCCTTTTCACTTTGCTATTGCTCTCCAGCTTAACCACAGAAGAAATGAAATACTGAACAAATGCGTCAAACAGGCAACTCTTTGTGCTGAGAGCACTTTATGGAGCTGGACTGTGAATCTGAAATGCCTTCAAAGTAAACTGGAGCTCTGGAAACCCTGGAGTGTGTTTAAAGCCATCACATTTGGTGACACGCCTGACTCAAACTATACCAGTCTGTTAGTCCTGAGTAGCAGAGGTAAAAGAATGGGACCCAATAAAGTCCTCTGGAAGTTTACCTATTCTGCTTCCCCCTTTCAGCAATAAAACACTGACCATCTCTGGCTCATCTTTGCTCCAGAGGCACCGTGGCAAGCACGAAGCAGGATGTACAGTGGCAGTGTTACAAAAGCAACACCAGTCTGAGTTAGCTCAGCCTCACAGCATATTCTACAGAAGGCAAGTTGTCTTCATTTCACAGATGGAACAGCTGAAGCTTTGAGAGGCAAAATAGCATCCCAGCAAACCAATGGCAAGGAGAAGAAGCAACAGCTGCCAGATGCTGCTCAAAGTGCTCCATGACTGCAGTCCTGACTGGTAGAGGGCTGAGGGACTGCATCCCAACAGGAGACTCCAACAGGAAACCAGTCTC